ACTCTTAATATCGACTTCCAACTGCCAAGGAGTCTTTTACGTGCACGCCAATGTGTATACTTGTTTCGTCTCATCGGAACAACTATATAAGCATACGTTGTCTCTTGTCGGGCCCTCCACCCCACAGCACTAACAAGGAGCAAATACACCTGAAAAGCCTAATGAACTTTCACGTCAAACGCAGGGATTGAACACGAACCCTCCAGGTTAGTGACCAAAGTCTTACTCACTGAGCCACCGTGGCTCCGTTTTCCAAAGAATTCTTGTGTTTAGTTTAGACAGTATACAGGTAACATTATTTACTTCCGTTATTGTTGAACGAATAAATAATAAACTAAGAGAGATAGAGAGAGAGAGAGAGAGAGAGAGAGAGAGAGAGAGATGGGGTTTAACGTCCACTCGACAAAAAATAGGTCATTTTGGGACTAACACGTAGGGTTCTTTAGCAGTGGGAGGAAACCGGAGGACCCGGAGATAACCCACGGGGTTGGACAGGCGACCCTACTCTTTATCACGTACAACCGGGGAATCAAAACCACGCCAACTGACCCATTGACAGACCTTATGATACAGCACGCACGTGCTAACCATTCGGCCATCCAACCCCCCGAATAAACTAATAAAATTATTACTAGAACCCCAAAAAGATATAAGATAAAACAGTAGGTGTTATAGTCTCAATATTTAAACAATATCAACTTCATCAATCAATCTCTTTAAAGGCACCAATTCAATTGGATTTTTTGTTTTTCTTTATTCAAATATATTTTAAAGTCCTGTCTGTCTTGCGTGTCGGGGGCCACAGTGGCTCAGTGATTAGGACGTTGGCGGTCGAGAAAGTTCAGCGGGATGTATCCCGGCGTGGTTGCCCCTTGTCCTTGATGTAGGGCGGAGGGCCTGGTGAGGGCCAAGGTATAGTCGTCCGAGGTCCCGTTTACTCATTGGCGTGCATATAAAATAACCCTTGACAGTTGGAATTCGATATAAGAGTAGGTCGTAGGCATATTTTCCCTCATCGCACACTGTATGACGTATGTCCGCTGCGTATGTCCAGTAGTAGCAGGGCAGTAGGACGAAATGAACTAAGACGAGTGGGCGTTAAACCCCATTTCTCTCTATCTATCTATCTATCTTTTGGGAAGCTAAAAATTTTGATTTTAGTAGACATCCAATAAATGTTTGGCGGTTTTAAGTAAAATGTTTCATGTTTTAAATGCTTCATATGTTGTTTTTTTTTTAAAAATGATTCATGTTGTTGTTTTAGATGGTCCATGCTCTTTATTTAAAAAAGGGTTCGTGTTTTTCAACTGAACAGATATTCAACGAACACTTGAAAACAATACTAATCAATTTTTTGATAAAGCTTTTAACAACCTCGGTGTGGAACTTTAAAATACCTTTATCAATTTGTCTAATAATGAAATAAAAGTCGAGCAGTTGATTACTAAATATTTATATTAAAAACTATCCAGTGTTTAGTCTGCCAATAAAAGGTAATGTATTATAACTACACGTACAGCTGGTTCCTACCATAGGGTGGTGAAACTACACGTCAAAACAAACCAAATTAAGAAACATTTCGTTTGAAAATTAATTTACTCTTCACGTCTCAAGGTGAAATTTTATTAGAAATATTCTTTTTGCACCCTTCATAAAACGTATACGATGCGAAGAGTTATTTATATGTTTTACATGTAGTTGGTTAAAGGAGCTAAATCGCTAATATTTGGGACCTAGAAATTTACACAAATGGGTCGCAAACGCATATTATAATGTAATTGGAATGTATATAAACCGATGTACATTCAATCGGTGCTGTATTTACTGTAATTTCTAATCGGTTATGTTCGGCGAAATACGCCAGAAGTCTCAATCGAATGGCAATCTCAAGCGTCTGGTTATTCCAGTCTACACCGATAGTATTTATTGCGCTTGCTCTCCAGATATGACTTGCGGGATATGTCTAGCCTCGTTCTTCGAGTCCCTTGCTACAAATGACACTAAAACGCATTATAGTACACGATTCGCGTACCAATGGTAAAATATTCATTTTTTCTTATGAATATTGGATATCAGAAGCCCGTCTTTTCCCGGTAAGATGACAACATCAATGTTGATTTAAATTGACATACAATTCATGTTTTCATTGTCGAAGACTTTGTGGGTGATATTGAGTTAGAGACTTAGCTACTTTAAACCACCATTACTGTTGGGTGTGTTGTCTTGATATTTTATATTTAAAAATTGTGAAATCTTAGGATTTTAAAAGTCGTCTATTTGTGGCTCAGTCTCCATATTACACGTCCGTGTACTAGAGAACAAAATGGGATACGGTGGCCCTCTAAAATCCCTTTGACCCCCGCCCCATCCTCAAAAGAAATAATAATTCACAGACCCTGAACCCCAGATTAATAAAGACCAAAAACAGAATTGGTAATAAAAGTTGCAAGATTTGTTAGGACCCCGAGATCTGCACCACTGATAAAGAGGTGCAACGCTGAAAAATCCCGAGATCTAACCCGTTACCTCTTGGCTAGTAAACCAGCGCCTCCTTCACTGAGCCACATTACTTACAGCTAACTATAACAGTAGTTGGGACCTAAATTTGAATACCGAGAAGAGATCTTATTTCCAGTTCATGTTTTGTTTTGGACAGTGATATGCAGGTATAAAATTGCAGCGATGAATGACTATATTTCACACAGTTGCCTCCCTTATTGGGATAAATAACCAGGAGGTGCTTGGGTGGATCGATAAAGTTCCACGGGATTTACCTTCGGTCTGTTTCCCCTTGTTAGCGGTGAAAGATGGACCTGACAAGGAACAGCGTCTAGTCGTTCGGATGGAACGAGAGAGAGAAAGAATAGGGTTTAACGTCCACTCCACACAAACTATGTCATTTCGGGACTAACATATGGTTTAATTTTATTTCAATAATTCGCATGCGCGTAGGGGTCTTTAGCTCTGGGAGGAAACCGGGGGACCAGGAGAAAACCCACGAGGTTGGACAGGCGACCCTACTCCTTGTCAAGTACAACCGGGGATTCGAAACCACGCCAGTTGACTCAATGACAGACCTTATGATATAGCGCGCACGTGCTAACCATTCGGCCATCCGACCCCCTCGGATGGAACGAAAAACCAAATGCATATAGTGTAAATTAGAAGAACCCTTGGCAGTTGGAATTCAACTAAGAGTAGGCGGAGACGCCGTTGTCCGTGCAAATCTTTCTCATAACACACCACATAGCATATATCTGTCTTCATTATCCCGGTCGGTACAGAAAACTGGGACGCTAAACCCCATTCCGTTCCATTTCATATGTATGTTTGCATAGACTTCATAAGTCGAATATTGTTAAATAAAAAAATAACAATGAGTCCTAGCGCTTATCTCTCGCCGATCTTTTAATCTTTACAAGTATGTTTTATATATTTATAATAAGTCTTATCTCTGTGTGAATTTGTCCGTGGCGAACTCGAGGGCAACTACGGGACACCATAACACACTGGGGATTCCCCGTTCTTTCTACAAACGTTCCCTTTCTATCTTCCCATAAATAACAAAACGACAATTACGGGTCAGTGATGTGAGGTGGCCTGTACACAATCACTTCATATAGAAGGCGTTAAACATATATTTTGTCCCTCTCCCAGGCAATTAGTGTTTATAGAATTGAATTGTACTGTCGTCGAGTCCAGGAGATCGTTGAATGAGTGGTGTGAGGACACAAGAAGTTAATCATCCTGAACGAGTCAATGGTCTGTGCAGTATTTATAATATACTCAACTCCTCTCTCAACCCCCTCTCTCTTATTTTCTCGTCACTTCAATTATTTACAACACAAAAAAATATAATTCTTTTTTTTACAAGTCAAATCTAGAATCTGTAAGGGAAAGCTCGGGTCATTCTGTGTTTGTGTTGATACAAAGGGTCACCTTTGGTCTCCTCTTTCCCCTCCTTGGGGTCGGTGTACATAATTATAAGGGAATACATTTTATATGCACTTATTTAGAGAGTGCTACATTCACCAGAAATTAGTAAGGGACTATTCATAGTGGAGGGGGGGGGGGGGTAATCATAGTGTAAACTATTCTTATAGAATGTTTAATGGAAGTGTAAGTCGTGCAGGGGTGTCCTTCCATGAAGATGTGAAAGTTTACTGTTTATGCAACTGGTTGTTCGATTTCCCGAATTATTAATAGCTCGTCTGTGTATATTCTCTGTGGTCATATTTCACACCCTGTTCATAGCTTATGCCCATAAATACCCATATTCTATGCCCAGTAATACCCATATTTAATCTACTATAAATACATATATGTTATACCCATGTACTATCTATAAAGACCCATACAGTGTCCATAAAGACCCACGATAAATTCTATCTCGTAATTTACGGGGGCAAATGTTGCACCCTGTCCATAGCTTATGCCCATAAATGCCAAGTCTATGCCCAGAAATTCCCATATTTAATCACCCATGTACTAAGAGAGTAAAAGAGAAATGGGGTTTAACGTCCACTCGACACAAACTAGGTCATTTCGGGACTAACATATGGTTCAATTTTATTTCCATAATTCGCTTGCGCGTAAGGGTCTTTAGCAGTGGGAGGAAACCGGAGGACCCGGAGAAAACCCACGAGGTTGGACCATGTACTAAGCATAAAGGCCCATACACTCACTATCCAATAAAGAGACCCCACGATAAATTCTATCTCGTAATTTACTGAGGCAAATGTCAGTGTATATATTCACAAGGTGATGCCAAGAAATTTAAAATGGTTTAATTAACATGCATGCATACACGGATGTTATTAGCTTTATAGTCAAGGTAATGTATCTCGGGTGTGGTACACGGCTATTTATATCTTTATTTACTGCTGTATTTGCACATGTGTCATTGGATTTTCCTGATTCGTACAAATCAATGCAAATTTTCCCGTATCTAATTAAATAAATAACCCATACAAACAATTTTATCTCTTAGAACAAACAATAATTTATTCGACATCACATTTAATATAATATATTCATACAGGTAATAATAATAATACATCTTAATAACTTATATCTTTATATATCATTTCTATTGCACTTCTATGGTCGCAGCTTTATACATGTCCCTTTTATGGTACTGATGATGCACATGATCTGATGACGTAATTAAAAAATGACGTAGTACACATGACACAATTATTGATGATGTAGATCATACATAGGTTTTCTTTCTAAATGACGTAGTACACATGACACAATTATTGATGATGTAGATCATACATTGGTTTTCTTTCTAAACGAGGTAGTTATAAACTTTAGTAGGTACACCTGAAATTATAGAATGAACATAATATTATTTTATTTGTAAAAAAAATAAATTGGATAATCTAAAAAAAAAAAATGGAAGCCTGAATAACTGAATAATTATGTGTTACATAATTATGTTTTGATATACTCTCGAATATTTGATGGAAAAATACAACCAGTTCTTTGTCATTTATTTATATATTCCTAACTAATTTTAAAGTGATATTATATGTTCTAGAATATATAAATTAATAATGTTATTTAAAAATTAGCATGCTAAGATACATACCTTATAAGTTTAGAATGACGAGGAGAGGGGAGCTACTATCATCTCAATCACAGCTTATAGTATGTATTATCACCCCTTTAAACATGTACTCACAAAATATAGATTAACATGGGTCCGTCCCTTTAACACAACATGGCGGCCATTAACACATATAAAGTTTAATATTAGCACTATAGGAGATCATGAAAACATCATACACAAGGTCGCGAGGTCACAGGTTACGACACTTGACCTCTGACCCGAATATCCGAGTTATTTTTTTAAATTTTAACACCGCCACTTGCGATCTTTAGAATTCTGGGGTCTCACTTTCAGGCTGAAATTCGTCCATCTTTCGTCAAACCAGGTCCGGTGAATTGTTCACGGATCGGTATCGGACTGATGATTCCTGGAGAACTCTTTGGGGATAAGCTTGGTGACGATGCAGGCATGGAACCGGGACTTGCAGGGGTCGGACTTCCAGACATCATACTTGATGGAGGAGTTATTGGGGTTACGGAATAAGGATGGAACCGTTGATTGGGTGATCTTTGAGACATCAGATTCAGGTGAGACGCTCCCAAACTGGCACCAAGCTGGTAATGTTGAGCCAGTGCCAACTGATGAGAAAATGAAGCATGCGCGAATGCAGCATGGGCTGGAGATGACGTTGTTGGGAAACTTCCACCACCGTATGTAACACCTGACATCATTGGATGAGACATTTGACTGGATGTAGAGTTTAATAGATAAGAGTTTATTGGATGAAAAGCGGAACTGTTGCTATGATACATAGATTGTGGTCTAAACATGGAGAACCCGGGTTTCTGGTAAACTGTCACATTTGGCGGACTTTTTTCTTTTCTCTGAGAAAAGGCGAGATCTTGTAAGGATTTCTCTTTCGCTACTTCCTGTTTAATATCTTTGGTTTCATATTTAAGGTTTTCTTTTTCCTCGCTGTCGGAGTTGCTGTGGACGCCGGAATCGTTGTGCGGAGATTCTGCCAAACGTGATTCTACTTCCGGTTCTATTTTTTGTCTTTTAGTAGGGGGAAGTTCAACCTCGGGTTCGGATTTCGGAGATTCAATACCGGATTCTATATGTGACAAAGAAACAGAGGATGGCGTGACGTCGTCGTTATCATCGACACAGATTTCCAGATTTTCGTCATCTTCCTCGCTAGCGGAATGGATTTCATCATGGCCGCCAGTGGATGGGACTTTGGTTTCTTCGCTTGTGATGCTTCGTCTAAAATTTAAAAAAGATAAAAAAATTAAGATTATGTACGTCAAATTCATTTCATATCCACTTTAATAGTTATGTTTTAACCATTTTTTTTACTGGACTACATATCAGATAAAAATTTCACAACTTACTTTTTGCCTCTACCGCCTCCATTTTCTCTAAACCCTTTAGCAAATGGATTATGATCAATTTTTAACTGTGTAATCTGTAAATAAAATAAAATACAAAAATAAATAAAACTCCAGTAAAATTTTTAAAAAAAAAATACATATTGAATTTCTTACTAGTATCATGATTATAAATTTATATAAGACAAAAAAAAAAGATAGTATTCTTTTGAACTATAAATCACATACAGCGTCACCAAAACATTTATCGTTTCTTACCTTTTCATTTTGATAAGCTGTGACTGCAATAAATTGAGTTTCTTCAAACACAAAAGTTTTATTTGGGCTGTAGGCCATTCGTAGGAGATCACTGGCACGAACAAGATGGATTCGGGGTTGATATTTGTGCATGGAATTCAATATTGCCTGAAAGAATAATAAACGTATTAAGGAACAATATTTATCAATTCTTGTTTTAAAATATAGACAATTAACGTTGTATATCTAGAATATTTTTTTTATTTATTATTTATATCCGTCTTTGTGACCTCTTTACCTCCATTGTCTCGAGATGACGCCATTGTGTCCTAAAACTCGTGGTCAATACAAATTATAACAATATCTATGTTATAATCAAATAAATAATTACTAATTATCGATTTCAGTACAAATGTCGTGAACTGGGAGGATTAATAGTGGATATGAGATCCACAAAACTTTATATATACAATTATTTTTTTAAAATATCAGACAATTTATACACAAAAATAGTCCAGGTTGAGAGAGAGCGATTTAATTCAACACTGCTCTGTTTCTTTTAACGTAAGAAAATATAAGCCAATGTAATGTAAAAGTCAAATATCAGATATATCATGTTTTAACATGTTTATTATGTATTGTAGAATGTACCTTGGGGCCATTTAACAAAGGTGTGAAACTAATATTATATGATAGTAAACTCATTGTCAGTTGAAAATACACGATAAAAGCTAAAAAAATATTATTAATGTTTTTTTATTAATCTTTGAATAAACTCTTTTCATTTCTTACTTATTTTATTATTCAATATTAAAAAATCATGACACTAGTTTTAATTTTCTTTTTTTTTTCTTAACTGTTTCCAAATAAAGATATTTTCTTTTGTTGTTTGCATTTTTTCTTAACTGTTTCCAAATAAAGATATTTTATTGTATTGTTTTGTTTTGTTTTTAAAATACAAAACTATATTTGGAAATTAACAATGACAACAAGGATCGATCTTTACATTTTAATTAGGAACACATTTTTGAACAAAGCAAATCCTATATCGATAAGCGGTGATTTGAAAGCATGAAAATATCAAATTTCGAAAAATTTTAAGGGCGTGTGCAATTACATAGCGTCGTGGGTAACATGCTCTTAAATTACGCCATAATTGTTTGTTGGTGTTTACTCGTTATTAGAGTAAATAAATAAATATATTAAGTTACTTATATCGGTGATATTGAAGGGTCCAACGTAGGCCTAAATATACTTATACTGGGTATTATATCTCGGGCGTTATTTGTTTATTTCACGCGTTTATCTAAATATGTATAACAACCGTTAATTTAGACTTTAGTTTAATAACCCCGCTAGACATCACGGCACCGGAGAAGTCTTCTACCTATTATCAACCGATGACCAATTTACGGCTTAGTATATATCTTTCATTACTCAACACTGACCACTGGAAAATAATGGGATTACGTCTTTGTCTTGTGGACTAAACGCTACTTGCCCAACCAGCTTGTGACTTCATTTAGTTAATTAAGATTCGTTAACCCCTTACACGCCGCCAGTATGTCGCCCCATTATGATAATCCACTCGCTCGTTTATCTAAAGCGCTAAATATCGTACCTCTTTCAATCGTCCCTTTTGTACAAGTATGTAATACGAAACTAAAATGGCTAACTCAGTCCCCTACGGCAACCCGTGGTTTCATGTTCCACTCCTAATACCATTACAAATAGTATGTTGATTTGTTTTAAATGTTGTTGAGTTAATTAATCAAGACAAAAACTAATTATGTCCAAAAAGTCACGACAAGATTTTAAAATAAACTGGATTCAAAATCTTCATTTTCTAAAAATAGTTAGGATATAAACGCCAAACAATTTTTAAACAACTAACAGAGTTGAATCACTCGATGTTAGTATTGTTTTGAACCGATTAGTTCCGAATTCATTTTTTTTTTGTTTTATCTGACAAACAAATGAATCATGAGTAGGATTATTATCAATTAATATTTTATCAATAATATTGATCCAATTAATAAAAATAATCAACTTACAGCTCCACTTTTATCCGATATATTGTTGGTTAACTTGAGTTTGTGGAACGAGACGGCTTTCTGCATCCATTGTTCGCCAGTACACGGAGAGTCGGGATGGATGTACATTCTTTTGGGCATCTCTGGGTCGGCTTTACCCGCCACCATCCATTTACCGTTGTGGAACTTGTATCGGCAATCATCACAAGGTACTATATCCAATAGCAAAATATATTTGGATTTCTTATCAAGACCGGATAACTTGGCTTTGTAGGCTGGGAAAATACGTCTGAAATTATAAATATGGAAATATTATTTTCAATTTACTAAAGATTAACTCCCGGTATATTTAATGAATTCTTGGTATCTCTGAATGAATAAATTTCATATTATTAATAAACAGTTTCTCGTAAATTAACGATACGGAATTTACTCTATTTTTTTATTTAGTGTACCCATGTTTGTACTAAATGCTACAACCCTGAGAAGTTTATCAGATTACACCGACGACGCTTGATTTCATCTCTCAAATACTTCAGTCGAGACATTTAGCATTTGTTTTTGATATTTTTCTTTGACTGTCGTCGCCAGGGGAAATTTTGAAAGACAAAATACCAAATAGCTTGGCGGAATCTTTGTTTCAAAAATAAATTCATTTGCTATATTCCATATGATATAGTTTTTAATGTGCGACGGTTTACAAATGATTCATTACATTAAAGATTTATATTTGAAGTTATGATTTGGTGCTATTCTAATACAAATAAATGAAGACGCTTGTTATGGTATTAGTGATGATGATACCCCCGGTAGTTAATGACTGCTGCTTATCTACTAGATATACATATACATTACTTCTCTGATAATTTACAGCTATAATTCATACCAAAATAAAATATACTTAGCTTTGATTTATTTAAAATATAGGTTTAATACCACACAGTAGATACATGATTATAAATTGGGTGCATTACTCGGCTTTTATATATAACATACACTGTTGCACTGTCATGTTTTTGTATTATAAACTGTGTATTCTTATGCGCAACGTTGTGTTTATTTAATACTTGAATGAATATTTTTCCTTATAAATATTAAAACAAAGTGTGCTATTTTATTATACATTGTTGTTATTGTACGTTATGTTTTTGTATTATGACATATAGTACTATAATATTTGCTATTATTATAATATACACATCAGTATGTGTAGTTTACTACTTTAGTATAAACATTGTTTTAATATTCTAACATGGTTCCTGATTATACTATACATATACATTGTTTCATTATTCCAATAAACATTGTGTCATTATTCCAATAAACATTGTTTCAATATTATAATAAACATTATTTCTTATAAACATTGTTTCATTCATTATACACAAATATAAATGACTCATAGTACACAATGTGTAGTAATAATAACATCATGTGTATTGTAATGTTGATTATACAATGTGTAATATTAACAACAATGTATACTATTATATTATTAATATATGATCAATATTCATCAAGTTATTTAATTGTTATCTTAGAATTGCTCTATATTCTGTCATTACCTATTTACCAGTGATTCTATATTTTATTTGTTATTATTCATGAACATACTATGGTATATTACGCGTCATCATTTATATAAATTACTACTTATTGGCATTTAATACATTGGAATAATTATAATATATTGTTTTAAAACTATCAAGTAAGTAAAGATATATGTCCTACCTTCCAGTTTTAGTAATAACCATCTCTGTTCCAATTTTATGGAACGTTTTCCACAGATCGTCATTCTCCAATTCCACTTTTGGATCGTCCTGAACATCGGGTTCCGATTCCGGTACCCCGAAGGGTCGGAAAGGTGCCGGGTAGGCCATCAAATCTGTTTGGGTCAGAGGTAACCTGCCCATCGATGACTGTTGATGTTGTAACTTGTGTAATAACTGTGAATTAAGTCCCGGGAATCCCATGGAAGGGAAATACTGCTGTGATAATAAAGATCCCATATTATAGTCCGAGGCTCGGTTCTGCATCAGGAAAGGATTAAACGCCATTATTTGAACTGTTGATATATAATAAATAAGTAATAACTAAAACAAGACACACGATGTTAGTTGTACGAGTAGTCGATGTAAACTGCTGGTCCAAACGATAAAACCTCGCTTTATACACCAGTCTGACCGTCTCGCGCCGAGACACTGCTTATCTCACGTTCAACAGTTACAATACATCAATCATTAACATCTCTGTGTCTTGATTGGCTACCGTCGGGCTTACAGCCAATCATCGTTAGACGAGGGTGTGGCCAGCTATCAGAAGCTCGTCTCGTGCTAGACATTCTGTCTACATCGTACGAGCCTTTTATCGTTGTTGATAATATGTCAACAAAACGGGTTGGCAGTCATTGAATTTAAGTCGCCACTCGTCAAAAACATAATTAATCTATTACTTATAAACAAATATGCCCTTTTTCTAAAAAGAGAATTTTACCATACATAGAAACGCATGTTAAGAAAATATTTGTTTTTTTGATCAAAAGGAACAAAATGCTAATTATTTAAATGTTAAATTCTCGATTTCGAGAAAAAATGGTTTCAACGAGTAAGACTATTGTTTCTAATGTTTTCTAGTTATCCGATTGATGCAATTGTTAAATATTCGCTAGATACTCTTCTATTTTCCTTTTTATTTCAAAATCAATTACATTTTTCTACGCTTTTAAACTATGGGCCTTTTCAATAATGGAATACATACGGTTTCAAATGTAACAATTTATGATACAAATTTCAACTAGAGGTGCTTTTGTTTTTTTGTTTTTATTTTAACAAAAATTAAAAATCCATATATTGTATATATACAGACTTTTTATTGATATTCATTTGCTTCTTTCTGAGTTGTATTTGTATGTGTATTATGTTTGTCATTTATCTTCTTTTTTAAAAATCTAATTCAAATAATTTTGATAATTGTATCATTTAGGTATTTTGTTTGTATTTGTATTAAATTGTAAGTAAAGTCCATCGATTCAGTTTGGTGAAGATATCACAATATAAATGTGTTTTAATAATAACGATTATTAAGGGATATATATTTTTATTTCACATAAGTAAAACTTTTAAGACATCGTGAGCGAAAATTCACAGCTGAAAGCGCTGCCAATCAACGATGCGACAAACGGAGCTGAAATTGATTACTGTACAAATCTCCGCCCATTTAAGTTGATTGACAGCCGTATTGAAAGTCAATCAAGCATCCGTTTGTTTACATTGAAGGGTAATTTGTGTAAAATCAACAGCACTGAACACAAGTAACCTAACCTATCAACTTTATTTAATAAACTTTTTCTCTGACCTTTCGTCAAACTTGGCTGACAGAATGATTATTTCAAAATTAGATTTTTTTCTGTATCAATCAACAGATTATGTGTAAAATAATAATGGTTTTCATTTTTTAAGCATTTCTGACTAAAAATTAAACTGATTTATTTCCATGTTTTTAATAGAAACTCAACCAGAACTTTCCTTGGAAACGTCTACAATATATAAAGAAATCCACCCCACAAAGAAAATGAATAAATTCAAATATAATATTTTTTTCCTGGGTCACATTATAATAATATTCCAATTTATTGTTTTTATTATTGTCGATTTTGATAGATATTATCTTGTATGTATTAAGTCCCATGGGCCGAAAAGGCCGGCCATTCTACAATTAATTTTATTATTGTGTACTGCATTTTCATTGGCAATGTACAATTAAACATCTTCTGCTTCTTCGCCATGTGCCTATCTTCATTATCCTAGTTCGGAGCAGAACAGTAGGACGTTAAAACCCATTTCATTTCATTTCATTTTCTACGTCGTGTCAAATATTTTGAATACTGTTTTAGGAAATACTCATGTGTATTTGAAGACAAAATAACATATTACTTCTCCTCGTGACATTTCCCATACGAAATGACACTCGTGTGACATTGTCTATATACAATATTCCTAGAGACATTCTAGAATACATAATTTGTATATTTATCAACTGATGGCCTGCGATATCACCGCAGGTGGAGAGTGGATGTTAACTCCAAGTGGTATATATTTTGTGTATGTAAAATCCTTTAAGAGCTTTGATTCCCCACCCCACCCACCCCCTTTCATACATTATCAATAAAATAGACAACAAACGATAATATTTACATAATATACAGACACAACTCTATAATTATGGGATAAGAAAACAAGTCGGGAGATATATTAATTCATTTTGAAGTCACAAGAAATGGATCAGTAGGTGTATATAGATATAAACTGCGGTATTCGTTTAAACAATGCATATAAACAATATTTATATACTGGATTTGAAAACAAGCCAAGGTTTATATAAATTCATCTCGATTCTATCGCATTCGATGTCTGCGATATCACTTCGGTGGAAGCGGACGTTAAATAAAGCTATTTCACACACATCACATTCGATTTACTGTTTGTATTACCGTGATATACGAGTTTTTTGGGGGGTTTTTTAAAACAATATTTTATTCACAGGATACCGAAACAAGCCAAAGGCTTATATAAATCGGCTCCCCAAAAACAAGATACATAAATGATATAAACATATACATTGATATGGAGTATTAAAGTACATATATAATAAGATTACAGCAAGAAAATAATCAAGTTTTAGCTATCATCAGGACCAAGAAGGGGTCCATACTCGACTGCTAAGTTTAAGTTAGTTACCTCAAAATCATGGGGGGCCATTGTAACGTATAACGTATATGAGTCGCCATTTCTTGTTTTCTACATACATATAATTTTCACCCATCTTTATAACTTTTAATCACACATGTAAATAAATATCACTATTAAATAATGCAATTGTCGGCGATATCACTTCGTCGGAAGTAGACGTTAAATAAAGCTATTTCAAACACGTTGCAGTTATGCCTGCGATCATTCTAAAAAGTGGAAGTATGAGTCGTCGAATACGCAGAAAATATTATCTCAATCCATCTCTGAAATATCGGAGTAGTGATTGTTCGTGCCTGTAACTCCACATGGACAAAAGGAATCAATAAAATGTAGTAAATGAGTGATGCTAGCTACAACTTGTTTATATTCTTGCTGTAATCTTATTATATATGTACTTTAATACTATATACATATATAATATATGTTTATATCATTTATATATCTTGCTTTAGGGAAGACGATTTTTATAAGTTTTTGGCGTGTTTCGGTATCCTGAGATTAAAATATATATATATGAGGTATATTCTGTATATAGTTTGATGTATATTCTGTATATAGTTTGATGTATATTCTGTATACATTTGGGATAGGGATCAATAAAATGTAATGAATATATATTCTGTATATATTTGAGGCATATTCTGTTTATATTTTGAGGTATATTCTACATTATATCACCTAGACCTGTTGTTCAATCCTTTTTAAATGAATTAAATATTGTTTAAACTAATCTCAGTTCGTTATATTGTATATTATATACAAAATAATATTAAAATAAACCTATTTTCTGGGGGGGGGGGTCTGGGTTTTTTTTTATTTTTTCATATGGGTAATTAAATATACACATTTTAAAACAAAACTATTCTAAGATCGTACTTTTTTTTATATATCATCGTGGCGTTTTTGAAATTATTTCTCATCTTGCGAGATACCATGCACCTGACATTACAGGTAACGACTACCTTTAGACCCCTCGCTGAAGTAATTAACCTGATTTATTTAAAGGTAAAAATAATTTAAGATATCGTGTTGCTTATATCTTGAAGTATGATTGATTTACGGATGAATTATGATGCTAATATTTGTCAATAATAACTCTCCTGTCGAACTGTTAAAGGAAGTGAATTAACTTCATTATACTCTAACATCCAGTATCACAGACACCGTCACGTGCACGCGTTCTTTAATTCATTATCAAGTCACGTGCAGATAATATTGATTGATAGGCTATTGTTATTGATTGCAACGTTTCATATTTTTCTCGGCTAATTTCTTCAAACTTTAATCCTTGTTGTCTCATAATAAAAATTATCTATTGGCCCTTATTAGATGGTAGTTGGTGACTAGAATTACAAAAGATCTTCAATCAATTTTCAGATAAACCCCACGAAAAGATAAAGGCTTATAATTATTATTATTTTTCTTTTATAAAAAAATACAATCGCTTTTACTTGTTAGACAAAATTTTATGGACGGATTCTTCAAAAATCGCGTTTATTTAGTGTTTATGATATAGAATAAATTAAGAAAATGGGTAGATTTTAAAAACTTTTTTTCATATTATGTTGGTGATAATCGAAATTTTTGTCATAAATATTTTGTGTTTTTGGGTGTTTGTTTTGGGGGTTTTACCACAAAATCGTTTAATATTTGTATTGGAGGAGGAAAGTTAATTTCTGTAGTTATCAATTTATCAATGACTCTAGATAAAAAAAAATATATTCCCATGCTTTCAGTGATTGAAACTGACAATTTGCGAAATAGCAATTAACACCCGATTTACCGATTACAATTCTGAAAAAAAATTCCCACGATATGAACAAAATAAAAAATATGATTTGTGTATTAAAGCCGATATGGTTTTTGACATGCTGCGAATTTTAACGCCATTTTGATTACGATATAAAAGATATTTGGTTGTGAGTTGTGGGAAGCCGTTTAATTTTCTAAAGAAGGGTTTAAAACAAAAGGTCGTGTATTTAGGGTTTTTGTGATCCCTGATTGCCACGTGATCGACTGATTTGGGGTTCAGCGGACAGATCGGTTGATCGTCGATTGAATTGGGCTGGTCGTTAATTGCAAACGTGCTAGCCGTATTTCACAAACAATCAGCCATGTTTGGTTTTAGTTTGAATTACCACGCGATTTCACGGCGCCAGACCACCTCGCTTCACCGATTTACCTACCGTTTATAATTATCAAAGCCGAATGCAACACAGGGGCAGATTTAGGCAATTGCTTGAATCGTTTTCAATTTCTTTAAAACGAATTAACTACTTAATCTTATCGTTACTGTCGCCGTTCGGGTTAAAAATTGAATAATTTCTCTTGTACCGAATAAACATTGCGTTAAGTATAGCCTAATATCTATATGAGGATTACCGCGATATTTAAAAGTCCACGAGACAAATAG